CAGTGAAAAGGGAAAGAAAAGATCAGGCTAGAACGTTGTAGATGTTACTTAGATGATTTATACGACTATTGCAAAAAAACGAAAATATTGCTTTATGGATTAGACTACTATATTTATGTTTTTAAGATCGCTGAATCCGAAGTCCGTTGTTCTCCGTGAGTTCAGGGTCAAGGTCAAGTCAAGGTCAAGTCAAGATTAAATTGAGAACTTTCTATGAATTTAGGCAAATAGGGCTGGTTCTTCATGTTTTTACGATCGCTGAGTTCGAATTTAAAAGCCATTTTCCACCATCAAGTAAGGGTCAAAGCAAAAAAAATAACTAACACAGACCTTGACCCTGACCTGATGGAGGAAAACGAACTTCGGATTTTCATTCAGCTGAGCTTGAACATCGTCCTTTAAAAAATGCTACATTTAAGAAAAAATTATTTTTAATCTTATAAAACATTTATATAGTATATAATCCCATGTTGATAGATCAACAACAGTTTGATTTCGGCAACCATTTAGACACTCACGCCTATAGTAAAGCATGAACATTTTTTACATTCAATCTTTTCTATTTTTCTTAGAAATAAAAAAATTATTCATAATTATGCGAATATTTTTGCCAATCAATTGAATATTTTCGATTAATGTCACCAGGGTGGGATTTAATTTACTTGTCTTCCGTAACTAAAAAATTCCAAATAATTTTTGTCGCGTAAGCGCAGTTTTACTTCGATTTTGGATAAAACGTAGACGTTGGCCATCGAGATATCACATTATTTAATTTGATCTCACTACGACTATCTATTAGTAAGGTGAATGTGACAGGGTACTACTAACAAACAATTCTTTTTTAACTAACATCTCAAAAACAATTCTATACTCCCTAAATAAGCAACAATTCAAATATCTCTGAGCTAAACTATACCCCAAGTCTGCTCTCTAATGCAATTCCGTCATGGACGACCCTAACAATGTGGAACCCCCTGACGTAAATATGTACTCCCCTTCTAAATCATATGCTTAACCAATAATTGTTGACACCGAAATATCACCCATCTACTCACCCTCCCTCACACATATAACAGAAGACCAAAATCAAAAGCAGAGACTTCGCACACCCATATACCGACTCCCAGATAATATAAACAGACACAAACTTCCACACACAGACAACTCGGGCAATAACCCTCCCTCCCAACTTAATTTATCTCAAAGAATGGAATTACCGAAACTCTCTGAATATACTAGCGACATCCCTCTCCCATACAAAATCATCCTGGAATCTCCACAACACAATGACGCTATCATAAAAACTGACCAAATTACCAGTAAACTCATCCCTCTGTTTTTGGACAATGCATTCGATGAAATGAAATCTTCTGACAAAAATAGATTTATCATCATTACACATCAGAGGAAAATTGCAAATCAACTGCTAAAAAATGATATCGAAATCTTAAAAATAAATTATTTACAAATAATAGTTTCCCACTCTTACGTATACAAAAATGGCATACTCAAAGGAATTTCCACAAATTTAACCAAAGAAGAATTACTTATAAATATAGATATCCCTGTATATTATAAGGTACTCAACCCATAAAAATACGTTGATTCAACAGAAGAACAGTAAATGAGAAAAAAACCCACATGCCTTCCTATCGAAACCGTCCAAATTACCTTCAAAGGACGAATACTTCCACAGTTCATTTATCTATTCAGAGTTAAACTAATTATAGAAACCTATATACCTAATGTAAGGCTCTGCACGAACTGCTTTCGATATGAACACACTAAAGCAACTCGCAAATCAAACAGTTCTCGATGCTTATACTGTGGAAATAATCATCCCACCGATACCTGCCAAGACAATGACAAAAAAAAAGAACTTCTCCTACCTCAACTATCAACAAAATCATCTACCTACCGATAAAAACTGTTCCACCGGATCTTTTAAACAAAAAATACTCTCTATTTCCATAAGAAAAAACGAATCCATACAAGAAATAAAAATAGAATGCTAAGAGATAGAAAAATCTAAATCTCATTCTTCTAATTATCTCGATATACACAACTCTCTCATATATGAAGAAATAGCTCAAAAAATCCTAATCATTCCCAATAAAATCTCTCAAATCATAATCTCCACTCCCCCCCTCCTGCTTTCACCTCCTCACAATTCAAATAAATATACACTCATACTCTCACATGGCTGCCAAAAACCCACAAAACTTTCCTAACCCAATCCGCACAACGAAAACTACATCTCCTTATCCTAAAGATCATCTAGAAACACTAATAAATCGTAGTGATAACTACAACTAAAATCCCGAAATAACATGTATCACTTATGACTTCTCACAGTAAGATGAACCAACCCAAACAGACAAACACAACGTTGGCCAATCACACATTATTCAACATGACAACGGATATTTATTTAACAACATACTAATCTCACGCGAAGAATAAGCCAACATTTTTACCAATCTCTTACTAGATCCCAAAGTAATTCGATTTATAAATCTTACATAGACTCCCTAACTCACCCCAATTCTCGCAATAAAACTCTCCTAATCTCATCCTCACAAATACTAAAATCATAACTACAAAACAATAAAATTACTTTCAATAAATCATAATGGATCTCAGCCATATAACAATTCTACAATGAAATACTCATTCACTACAATTTAAACTTGACTCACTAAAAGAAATAGCTTCTAACTTTGACATACTAATATTATGTGACACTTGACTTTATGATGACTTTCCCGTCTCCATTCCCGGATTTCATCATATATCAAATATAGACAAATTCATGAACACGGCTGACTTTCAATATTTATTAAAAATAACATCCCTTTTTCCAAGAAGAAAAAATATACCATTCCACCTTCAGGTTAGAATCCCTCACTATATCAATTCCAATTACAAATAACTCCAATTTCCACAATAATAACAATAATAAATTAGATAAATTACTAATTACCTCACTCTACCGTTCTCCGAACAATAATAATATCACCACTTTAAATAAATGGAGACACTTCTTTAATTCAACATCACAGTTCCAACATCAATTCTTTACGGGAGACCTTGGCTTTATTGAATTGTTAGGTATAAGATACAGGTCACCCATCGGGCGGCCGCTACAAACAATGGAACAATAACAACAATGCCAGGAAGAACGCGCGCAATCAAAAAACCACTGTTCGGATTTTTGCAGATATATTCAAAGATCTTCACACAAATATTCTAAATCTACAAATCGCTGACGATATAATCATATATATTAAAGCTAACGATCCCGATACAGCAAAATCTATAATAGAAGATGCGCCAGATATTATTACACGCAGATTAAGAGTAATGGAACTTGCTATATCTACTAAAAAAACAAGCTATGTACATTTCAACAGACAAGGTTATTCCCCGGGCGATATAGAAATAACAATAAACGACACTAAGTTGCCTTTCACGACCAATATAAAATTTCTAGGTTTATTCTTCGATTATGAACTTAATTTTAATAAACATTTGCAATATGTACATGAAAAAAACCAGCAGAGCGATCAATATCGTTAAATTCCTTCGTGGTGTTTGGTGGGGTACTCATCCTTGCACCCTTCTTACTTTTTATAAAAGTTATATCTGGTCGATTATTGATTATGGTTCTTACATCTATTACCCTACACAGAAAATTAAAGAAGACAAACTTGAACGAATACAGTACACAGGTATAAGAATGTGTTTGGGTGGAAGGATTAGCACACCTACAAATATATTGCTGGACGAAGTTAAATTACCAATGCTACAACACAGAACAAACATGCTTTGTAAATACTTTTTACTAAAAATATTCAGCATAAAGCATTTTATTACACGTATAACAATAGATAAATATGCCATGGATATTATTACAAATCGCAAGAAAAAAATCAATGTTTTAAATAAATCTATTAAAATGTCCTATCTATTGAGCAGTTAATATTTAAAAATGAACTTCCTAGCTTATTTAATTACGATCACAAAATTGCTAAAATTTATATTAACATTAATATTGATTTTGGAGCTAAGTTAAGAAATGTAAAAATCCTGATTGACTTTATAATTAAACATTTGAGAAAGAAAATTCCATCTGAATATTCACGAGCGGCTGTCAAAAATTACTAGGCAAATCTGTAGGTAGTGCTTGCGTCTGTCCATAGCTCAATGTCATTAAAACAAAAAGTATTATAAACAAAGCTTCTATATTCACTGCTGAGTGTATAGCACTTTATGATGCTATTGATAAAGCATTAGAATTCATTAACTGCAATATAGACTTAGTATCAGTACTAAGCTATCCAAAAAACAAAATCGATACTAACTACCACATACTAGATTCAAGAAATATATATGTTACTTTTATGAAAAAAGCCAATGGCAAATCTAGCATAACTATCTATTGGGTTCCATCACACATCGGTCTAAGAGGCAACGAACTAGCTGATCAAGCAAATAATGCTACAGAGAACTAGCCATTTGTTAAATGCGTTCCATACAGCGATTTTAGACCATTTAAAAAAATAATAAACAACAAGATGATTAGTAAGATCAAAGCCGAAAGCCTAACAAAAGGAAAAACCTACTTCGAACTATATCACCACTACAACTCACAACCTTGATTTATTGTAAGATCACTTTTACTATCACGCGAATTCATTGTAACTATCCACCGTTGTAGAAGCAATCATGATTCCCTCAAAGAATCACTTCTAAAAATTAATATTGTAGAGGAGTTTATATGTGATTGCAAACGGGATGTGCAAGACTTAAGGGAGTATGGTGGATAGGATGCTATTTAGTCGAGAGAGCGCTTCGACTAGCTATTGACTCGTGTAGTGGCAATCATAAATTTGGCAACATCGCACATACACTCCGCTCAACAGCCATTCGCCGCGACGTGTTTACATGCTCTTTCTCTAACCTAAAAGATAGCCTAATTATATATATGTTGAATAAATATGAGCGAAAATAGTGGAAAATGGTTTTGGAAAGGCAAAAGAGTTACTCAAGCAGTTTACAAGAAACGATGCAAGCAAACCGAGATAGAAAAAGGTATAAGAAAACGACAGAGCGAGAACATGCAAACAGATACAGTGACAGACTTGGCAGCAACAACAACAATAAAGTCTAATATCGAAGGACGCAGAATAATTCATGTAGATACTTTGGCGCAACAATTGTTCTGTATTAAATGTGGATCAACTTTGTCTTTAGTTGACTGTGTTAAAGAAAAAAAAAAGTTTAGCCTCTATTTTCTACGTAAAATGTCGATCATGTCAAGTAATTACTGCAGTAAATACAGACAAAACACATGAAGTACTTGGCAAGAAAAGTCATTATGATGTCAATACAAAAACTGCTATAGGTTTGTATAATATAAATTTACGTCAAGTGAATATAGTTTGACATCGATCATTCATCAAATTATAAATGTTGATAGGTTGCTTGGATGCTGGAATGGGTTGCACACACGTGAACAAATTATTGTAAGGGATGAATATTCCACAGTATAATTGGCAATCCTATAAAATTCATGAAGAAGAAGCAGGGTTAGCTGCAGAAAAGTTAGCTCGTGAAAGTTGTATTCGAGCAATTGCTGAAGAAAGGCGATTGACACTTGAAAATATAGATGAGATTGAAAAAATGCTGTAGGTTTATACACAGAATGTCGATGTTTGCGTAGTACAAAATCTACTTCGCATGAATCAAGTATCTAATTCGATGATGATGATTTTTTATACTACATCTGATTAATTTTTCTACAATATTTATAATGATTTTTATTTTAACAATGTAACTAGTCTTTCTACTTGGAAAGTTACATCACCCAAGTATACTATTTATTTATAAGTTTACATTAATCATAATTCTTTTATTACTGGTTGATATTTCTTTTGTTACTTATATTTATTATATTATCATTGAAGTAGATTTGTATGGTTTTATCTTGAAGTAAATTTTTTCAATATGCATCACATATTAATAAATTGAAAGATGTCAATATTGAATTTTTTTTCAGGCCTCCTCACCTTGATAGATCATTTCTTCTTCCTGATGTTCCTGCTACGATACCTATATATTCAATTATTGATAAGCATAAAGTTCGTATAGCTGCATCGTTAGATATGGGGTGGTTTACAAAAGGTTCGGGTAGAACTTACGATAGCTTGGGAGGTACAGCAACTCTTATGGGGAAATTCACGAAAAAAGTTCTCTCTATGATTACGCTCTCTCGCGTATGCAGAAAATGTGAAATGGAGTTCAGCAAAAATAGTCACGATTGTAGGTTAAATTTTTATGGTACAGCCAAGGCTATGGAGCCTTATGGTGCTGTAAAACTCACCAAAGATAATGATATTCTGTCTAGTTGTAATGTTGAAGTAGGTACTATAATTACTGACAATGATAGCAGTGCGATTGCCGCTATGCGCAATTCTCTTAATTATGAGATAGTAAAACAGGCTGACAAAAATCATACGAGTAAGGGCGTTACTAAAGCTTTATGGAAAATCGAGCCTAAATTCAAAGAACTAAATGGTGACAGCATAAATTATTTGGATAAATGTTTCAATTATTGCGTTTCTCAAAACATTGGTGACTCTCAATGTATGGCCGATGCTGGACGAAACATACCAAATCATAGTTTTAACTTGCACGCATTATGTGGTCCCTGGTGCAAATTTAAAGAAAATCCTACTTCCTATCATCATAGTGTGATTGGTGAAGGGTTCAAAGAGGCAAATCTTTATAATGCTTCACTCGAAATTTTTGACGACTTAGCTGATAAGGCACAACAATACTCTGCAGGTGCTTCCACCAACCCAAATGAAAGCATGAATGCTTCAATTGTAAGTAGGGCTTCCAAGTCAAGACTATATTGTAAGACTGTGTCTGCACATCAAAGAGTGGCGGTTTCGTCGGTAGACAGAAATGAGGGTCAGATATATAAATGTGAATTGAGTGCAAGTGTCAACTGTTCAACAGGTAGATATACTAGATTATACGCAAACCAACGTGATCGCACTAGCCGTTAAAGATATATTTATGCACAAACGCCAGAGTTCAAAAGGCGACGACTATTTTTGATAAAAAAGAAAATAAGCTTAGAAAGAAAACAGCTTTAACTGAGGGATGTACCTATGAAACCGAATGCCAACTTTTGAAGTGTCTTGATGTATACGTACCCATAGCCAGTTTTTCGGAAGACGTTCAACCAATAATAGTTCTATTTGATTTAGAAACTAGTGGCTTTCGCAAAACTGCAGACATTTTACAAATAGCTGCTAATTCGGTTGAATTCGGTGAATTCGAGTTTTCAACGTATATACGACCAAGTGAGGCTATTGACGAAAAATCAAGTCAGATTCATGGATTGCGTTACATAGATGATCATTTAGAATGTAATGGTAAAATGATCGAGACAGTTTCACTTACAGAAGGTATAATTGGATTTTATGAGTTTCTTTACCACTTGAATAGAAAGTGCATTTTAACAGAACATAATTGCAAATTCGATTATCCGAGACTTATTCTTGCAATAAATAAAGTCTTCATGATAGATCGTTTCAAATCAGTTGTTGAAGGATTTTCTGATTCGTTACCTCTTATTTCTAAGCGTAATAAGGAGAAGGGCAAGGGTGCAAATAAACTAGTCAATCTGGCTGCTACTTGCAAAATAGAAACTGAAGATGCTCACAATGCAATTGCAGATGTTAGAATGTTGCAAGGTATTTTATTCCACTTTGAAATAAATGATAAAAGTCTGATAGAATCAGTTCTTACGTGGGACATGTTAGATCAAAAGGAAGATGAGAAAAAAAAAAGAAAAAGCTAACAAAGAAATTTTGCAAAAACTAAAGGCATTCGAAAAATTGAAGAATAACAACTTGTCAATTAGAATGAAAAAAAAGATTATATCTGCTAATATTAGTTATGAAATGATTGAAGCAGCTTACAATAAAAATAAATTCGATGGCCTTTATCAACTACTATCCAACGGTCAAGTTACTAAAAATAAAAAAGTCATTAGAAAGATAAGCGATTACCTAGATTTCTGTATTACCTAGATTAATAGTGATAAAAATAATAAGAACTATATTAATAAAGTTGTTACATGAATAAAATAACTAGATTCTGTGATTAATAGTGATGAAAATGATAAAAACTATATTAATTAAAAGATATGACACGAGTAAAATAATTTGAATACTGTTGTGTATTTATAATAGTTTGTGATTATAATAAATATAATGTTTATTGAATTTATCGATTTGTTATTTTGTTCATACAAGGTTATAAAATGATTCTTGCAACTTTCAAACGAAAAATTGAGCGAGATGTGCAGTTGAAAAGCTTAAAAAATCCGCGCTTCAACGTAGCACGTGGAAATAATGCGACGTTGCCACATGTTCAATTCTCAGCTGTTATTTCTAAATTTCCGGTACAAATTAATCAACAACTTTTTATACAGGTTCTGATTGATAATTTTGAAGGCACCTATGGATTTCTTATTTTTTTCTACGTACCATAAAATTTTTTCAGAATTTTCTTAATTTTAAATATCTTTATAATCTACAAAAACCTCCTTTTCCCATAAGATCACATGTTATTTTTAATCATTAATATCTCAGGCTTGATGCTTTGAAGGGTCACGAAACTTGAACCATAGCTTAAGTAAGCTATAATACGCACTCTGTCAAAGTTATAAGTAATTCTTATTTTTAATAGTCTTATCCACCAATACTCCCTTAACCCGTTTCCGCCGAAAACGCCACTCACGTTACCCTGGTATTTGAGAGCTTATAACTGACGTTGAAATTGCCAAAAAAAAATGAAAGAGCTATATTCTGAAAGTTTAAGATCTGCTCTTTCCGATGGTGCTCATCTCAATTTTCCAAAAAATTTTTTACTATTGCAAAATGCAGTTTTAAAAAAAAAATCATGATTTTTTCACTCCTTTTTTTTTTAAATGGAGTTTTCAAAAGGTTTCTCCAGTGGAATCGACCCGGAACCTCTATAACTGGAGGAATAAATGTCTGAATATTAAGGTCTCATCGTTTTCGGATCGATTTTTCACCTGGGGAGTTTCAAAATGGCGCCTCGATTGCAAAATTTTTGTAAATATGTTTATGAATTTTTAACTCAACAACTATGGGGTTATGGAAAAATTGCCAAAGAAGAAAATGTTCTTAGAATTACTCAAAGAATGCACCTAAATTTTTTCAAAAGATTTCAAGAAAATTTTTTTATTTTTGCAAACTGTAAATTTATGCAAAATTCAAAAGTTGCTCAAAAAATCCAAAATAATTCCCACGTATTCTACAATTTATTCTAAGAATATTTTATTCTTATAAATTTTTTTGTATGTGCATTTCTTGTGAAAATTTTCCCATTAGTATCAATGTGGTATCAAAGTGCATATTTCGCCTGTTCGCCGTAAAATGCATTTTTTACGTTGCCCAACTATCACCATCGTGGAGGTCGACGAATATAGATAGTCTCATTTTTTTTTACATGTTAGTTATTTTTATATTTTTTTTGTATTTTTGTTTTTTTTTTTAATTATTTATGATTACTTTAGAGAAAAAAATTATTTCGCTTGATGCAAAAGAGGAAAACAGTGCAAGCAATAGTACTTGTCGCAATCAATGCAAAATCTGCTAGTTCGTTGACGACACTCCTTGTAGTTACATACTGCTCTAGTTCTAGTTTCATACTGATAAGATTGGAAATCGCCCAATTTAGAATTGGATAAATACACTCTACTGATTTCTTTACAAAAATATTTTGTTGTAACATGTTTAGTTTTGTCGGTATTGCAAATGTTCCAAAGTGTTAAAACATTTGTAACTGAAGCTTGAAGAATACGCAAGAAAATTTTGAATGTCCATTTTTTTGAGCTTATACTTGGGCAAGCTTTTTTACATAGAAAATCGTGCAAGTCTACGCCTCCCATAAATTTGTTGTACAGTGAGAAGGCAAAAGGAAATCCTATTTATATTCTATCTTTAGCAGTTCGTGAATACCTTTTTATTGGTTTTATACGTGTAACACCAACTGCTGTAGATAAAACAGATACTTCTTTGGAGTCAATTACAGTAATAAAGTTCATACCACTGTTTGTGTCATGATCCACTTTGAATGTTCCTCGCGGAGCTTTTTTTTCAAAAGTATGCTTTACTTTCACTCTATCCTTGCGTACAGTTCCTGTCGATCGCAATCCATATTTGCCCAAGTGTACAATTAAATCAGGACTAGTGAAATAATTATCGAAATAGAGGTGATAGTCTAATAGCTTTCTTTTTGAAATGCCAAGTAAAAGAGGATTGATCATTTGTACAACTACTCTGGATCCAAGTGGACATGATGCTAAATTTATTCCAATGCTAGTATCATTTTTACCACAGCAAATGTCCATATTGAACAAATACCCATTTGCTCCACACAATCCCCAGAGCTTTAGTCCATATCTGTCAGGCTTGCAAGGTAAATATCGTTTTAGGCAAGTACGTCCAAAAAATCTGACCATCATTCCATCTACAGAAAGAGCTGTCATAAAAAAGCCAAATTGTTGAATATTTGTTTTGAATAGATTTAATATTTCCCGAACTTTCCAAGCTTTGTCATGGTCATTTTTATCTTTAGGTTTAGAATATTTTATTTTTGTTTTTATTTCACAAAACCTATCACGACTCATTGCTGAAGAAACTACAGAGCACTTCACAAGAGGGTCAGTTTCCCAATACTCCCTTAGCTCATTTCGTATGTTGTACGAAGATAGCAGTAATATTCCTACAAAAGTATTAAGTTCTTGTACGGATAAATCCAATCCATTTGCTTCGCTAGCTTCAATGATATAATTTTTTATTTCTTTAGAGAAAAAAAGTTCAAATAACTGCACAGGTGACATTGAACATATTTTTTTCTTTACAGAATCACTTAACAGTAATTCATTCTCTACATTTCCAGGGCATACTTTTTCTGAATTACACCATGAAAATTCATGATCTGGTTCTAGTTTTTTTTGAACTGCTGAATAGTTATGAAAAGTAGATCTGTATGAAATGTTTGGTTTTGGGATTTCTTCTTCCAAATTCTCATCATCTGAGTCATATTCTCCTTCAGAACCTGAGTTGTTTGGATCAGGTATAACCACGAACTCATCATTCTCTTCGGAATCTACATCGAGATTATCTACTCGTTGATTGATTTTTTTTTAAAACTGCATTTTGCAATAGTAAAAAATTTTTTGGAAAATTGAGATGAGCACCATCGGAAAGAGCAGATCTTAAACTTTCAGAATATAGCTCTTTCAATTTTTTTTGGCAATTTTAACGTCAGTTATAAACTCTCAAATACCAGGGTAACGTGAGTGGCGTTTTCGGCGGAAACGGGTTAAACCACGTTATATGGCAATGCTCATTGTATGATGAAATCCTTACTTAGATCATTAACCAAAGCAAAATCATTCCATTTGACATCAAATGCTTCCTAGGAAAACCTAATATGTCGATACTCCAAATGGTGTACAAATTTATTGAGAAATGTAAAATAAAGATATAAGATGTGGCTAACATTAAGCAATTAAATGGTTTAGACTAATTATAATATGTACTACAACAATTTGTCAATGTAATAAATTTTTTATTTACTTTTTCATTTTGTTAAATTCTAATATTGTATTAAGCTGAATAGCTTTTGTATAAAGAAGTTAATAAAGCTACAAATTAAAAAACATGTACTGAAAATTGCTGAAATTACATATGTATATATGTAAAAATAAAAAACCTACCAATTAATTACAGACCAATATCTTTAAATCCAATATTGCTAAAATTATAGAAGAAATACTTCATGAAAGAAGTTTTCAAAAAATATAATAGATCTCTAATAAACAATTTAGTTCAAAATGTTATTTCTGTCCAAAGCTCTGTATATTATTTCTTTTTATCAGTATTATTTCTTTTTAACATAGTATACTTTTCTGCAGACAAACATATGAATATTATCAATATCAATACAGTTAATTTTTTTATAGAAAAGAACTAATATTTAAATAATTATACGTATTATTTGTTCTTTATGAATTGTCAAAAATTACTAGGAGGTATAACTGAAAAATATAATTATTAGTCTAAATTTTGAGTAAACTACGAAATGATGTGAAATCATTTTTACACATCAGACGAGTTTATTCATATAGTTAGTAAATATAACTATTATTATGTTGGATTTAAAAAAATATGGTTATCATTCATATAATTAGACGTTCGTTATTTATCATTACCATAAGTCTTAAATAAACGTCATAAAACTACTCGTCGGGCTCCTCGTTGTGGAAATTAATAACGAAACTTAATTTAGTGCAAATCGGGATTACACGATAAAATACTCCAAATCTTGTTTCATAAATGTAATATATATTTTTATATGAAATTTTCAAATGCTATAATTCAATACCAATATCTTCGACATGATCTGTATATAATAACATTCAGCTGCTACGAATATGTCGTTTCACAATTTTCATATCTCAAATGCAATACTTATTTGTTCAATAAAACGTTTACGTATGTAATTATTTTTCATAATAATTTATAGGTTGTGACGGTAAACGTCTTATTAGCGCTAACGACCCAACCGTGCGGCTGCCCGCGAAGGCAGCACCTACCGATTGGGGAAAATGTGACGAGGTAATTCGGCACGCGACGGGACGGAACGCGCGCGTATGGAAATGAGGCAGTCGAGGATCAGCTATCGATATCGCCGAGAGGAGTCGAAGATTAGCATCCGGTCGCTGAGCTGTGCAAGGTGGGATAGTTGATAGTTCCCGAGCTTTCCCGAGTGCCGAGACGAGCTGATTGAGAGTGCAGGCCTAACTACCGATACGAGGAGCGGCAAGTGAAGGATCAGCCATGGACACGTTTAGCCGAAAGCGCGGAATAAGTTGCCGATACATGAGCCAAAAGAGCCGAAGATTAGCTACCGATCGCAGAATCGTGCTGCATAACCATCTAACGTTGTCCCGAGTTTTCCTGAGAGCGAGAAGACAGGTCAACCTCGAGGATCAAGGGAAGACCGTTTGACGGAACCGAGTGTATACGAGTGTGTGCGTGAGTGGAGGGTTTCGCCATCGAGGGCGAAACCGTGAGCGAGAGGCATCGCGCCCAACAGGCGAACAGTGCACAAAGACTACAACGTGTTATACAAGCTCCCTCGTATTAAAGACAAACTTTCCCGCAACGAGAGTGCGAACCGTTTCTTTTATTCTTCGTACGACTTCAATAAAAGATAAGCTGACCAGCTTAATTTCGCGGTCGCGATATAAGTGCTATACGACTAATCACTCGATTAGACAAGAGCGTGCATGTAACATCTCGGCAAACAAAGAGCGGCGAGCGATCCGACACTGCATGTTGTTGTCGTGCGCGCGGCATGTAAACATAAACACGCGGGCCGAATGCGATGTAATATTAAGAGATAATAAAAGTTCTCGTATGTGATGTTAACAGTACTTTCGAAGTGTTCTTTTTGTATTTGTAGATAGTTGGTTGACTGACACCCGTTCCCTTCTGCTCTCCGATTTTCGTGTCTGACGTAGGTAATTACGCGCGCCTTTCAATACGATCGCGCGAATAAATTAATTAAACGGTATCCACCCCGTTACAAGGTTTCTAAAAAATAAGAATATATTTAAAATTAAAAAAATATATATTTATACATTATCAAATAATTTATATTACATTGTATTGATATCATATATTGCTTATAAGTATTTAAAGTTTGAAATTCTCGAAACTCATAGTTAGTAATTATTTATTAAAAGCAATCCAACAAATTTATAACTAAAATCGTTTGGTTTCAAAAGAAACGAGCTGTATGTTTAAGCATCGCTGTTGGGATTGGAGGTTGAGTGCAAGAAAAGTAAGATATTGTTTCTAGATTGTTAACAATTGAATAACCTTTTATTTTGAACTAGTAAAAATATAAATATCAAACAGCACACAATATAAATCAATACGCTACAGAAATACAATAATTTTCTTCCATCGCAGAGAAAATTCAGACTGAGCTCCCTACGAACGCCAAGAGCTAACTGACTGCTCTTGGTTGAGCGACCCAACAAGTTACGATTCGGTGTCTCTTTTTTTGAATTTCTCCTTCCCTTCGCTGTTTTATTAAGTTTTCCCGCTGAAGAGAAAACTAGCCATCCTCTCCCACCGGACATGAATTAAGGTGGGGCCTTACGTGTGATGTTCGTATCATTTATAAATAATAATAATTTGAACTCTCGTATCTAGCTAATGAGTAAGAATTTGTTTCCAATAATTTTACTCTACTTGTTAATAAAATAAATAGATAAATCAAATGTATTCTAATAATAATAAATAAATCAAATATATATAAATAAGTACAATGTTTCAAGGAAAGTCAGACAATGCCCTAGTTTCTTATGGTGCGAATTGTCCCATAAGCAGAGCTAAAGTCTTTCTTGGATAGGATATAATTCGGCCCAAGTTTCTTATAGCGCGAGATGTTCTATAGGTCGAGCTCGAATTATAAGGAAGGAACAGTCTTGCTCAGTTAATACAATGAGAGAAAGAACTTATGTATTAGCCAAGTTTATTCAGACTCATGCGCTCACCTTGCAAGGCTAGAAGTGAATGCTAGCCTGTGCAAAGGTGAGCCTATTTATACATAGATTTTCCCGCTTATTTTTGCAAGAGAGATGTCATCGAACATTCGAGAGACATTCGCGAATTTTCAGAAATGAGTTTTCTTAATTTACAAGTAAATAACCATTAATAGTAAGCTTTTAACACATGTAAACTTTACAGAATTTATTATTTGTTGATTACATATAATATACAATTATCGCAAATAGTGTCGTCAAAAGTTATTAACTAATATAATTAATTAATGTGATATTACAATATTTACAATAGAAAATTATTAAATTTTTATATAACTTTATAGTTGATTAAATTTGGAAGTATTTTCTAAAAATAAATATTTAAATTAGTTAATAACATTTGAATTATAACTAATTTTTTATATTTGTAACGGTTTTTCCTAATCTTATAATGCAATTATTAGATTAATTATCTAAGATTCCTAAATCATAAAGCTATCATTATTAAGTATAAAATTAATACTATCGTTTTATATACAGCTTATTGTTTAAATAAATTATTAATTGTTTATTTACTAATAACAGTTATTATTCAGCTGTTATTAATGAAACCAATTCTTACTCATATACTATACTTATTCATTTTGCATATGGATTATTTACATTTTTCTAATATTTCATATTGTTAGCGTAATAAATAAATCAACTTTGCATATTGAAATTTAATATTATTTCATAATTAAATGCAATTTGTGTTATTATATTCTGAATCTATGTAGTAAAATCTATATAATAAATACTTTGTTATATTAAAATTATCTCTAACTAACACGTTTTTCTTAATAATAAAAATCACAATATCTATTGTAACGGGTGATTTGAAAGAAATAACTGTACGTCGATTGTCGAAAGAATCAGTATCTTTATTTTCGCCCGTCACTTCGAGTATACATTTGCAATACCGCGGCCGAGAGGTTTTGCCGAGTGTTACACGCACGCGGCGAGAGAGAGAAAGAAGACGCACTATCTATTCGCACTTCCCGCCCGCACGCATTTACAATTGAAGTCGGGGACTTACGTTACAGGAAACTGTCGCTGAAAGTCGATCAACACTGGTGGCGTGTTCGAATCGCGTTGTCTCCTGCAGCTTCTTGACGGGGGATCTCTCAATCGGAACTTTCGCCGCCCGGATCTGCAGTTGCCCGCGACACTCGGCTATTGCCTCAGATCGCTCTGGGCAACTGATAGTGGGCAGCGAACAACCTTTGTCTGAGAGATGCTCCCTAGGAGATCTTTATGCTATTGGATCCTCGTACGCTGTCGGCTAGGCCGTCTCTCGAACCACGCTGGTCTAATTACTTCGCACTTCCGTTCGCGTTGTCCGCAGGTCCGGACTTGACTAATTTCTCATACCTTCTTTTTCGTTGACGCGCGCTCGCCGGCCGGCGGCCCGATCGCTCTCTTTCCCCTTCCTATTATTTCTAACGTCTCGCGGTACACGCGCCTAACTCGCGCTGCTCGGCGTCCCAATCTCTCTCCTCTCTCTCGCTCCTTCGCTTGT